GCCTCTACTTCATTTGACAGCCTGAGTTTGTTTTAATTGGCGTGTGAATGAACAGCATTATTTATTAATGTGTAATGGATACTGTGGAAAGCATAACCTTTTTTCCTATTTGTGGCCATTTTATTGGCAGAGCCATTTGAATACATTAATTTTAATATTTAAACTTGTTGGGAACACTTTTTCATGGAGATGTACAAGCTGTTATGGCAAATGGTTTGCTTTGGACTAATGAGCCAACTCAAAAGTGGCATTTGGTGAGGAGAGGGGTGGGAAGGTGGGCAGTTTTGGAGAAATAGCAACTTGTCTGCTTTAACAAGATTTATTAGTAGTGTGCAAAAACATGTTTCAGCTCCCCCTCCCCCAACTATATAAATATAGTTGTCCATGTGTGATATAACACAGGCCACAATAATAGACTCCACCCAGCCAGAAGGAATCTGACTCAGAACTAGAAAGCAAGAAGCTTGCCTAGAAATGAATAGATTGAGACAATGAATGACAGAGGACACGGATGAGTGGCATTTGGCCAACGGGACCAGTCATTATTTCCTAGTGCCTCACTAAAATTCGGGAGAAAAATTTAGTTCCTGTATTTTCAAGTACAGTGCTTGGCATACACCATAGAGCATAGAGCATAGGTGACCTGAATAAAATGGGTTTTGTTTTCAAAGCTGATGAACACCTGAACACAATTCCATTTTTAGTTCTAACATATGATCTTGTTAATTATGATCACGGTTGTAATTATAGTTCCTCTTATGCCTGTGAGGGGCAGCCATAGGGAGGTGGTTGAGGAATGGCAAGGGAACTCTTTTTTTTGTTTGTTTTTTGGTAAATGTCAACTTGATTCTATTTATCTCAGGGATTAAAAGGGTACTACTAAGTTAGTTAGAAAGTACTTGAATAAAAAGACAATGTGCAGCCTGGCTGGTGTGGCTCAGTTGGTTGAGAGTGGTTCCATGCACCAAGAGGTTGCTGGTTCAATTTCCAGTGAGGGCACATGCCCAGGTTGCAGGTTCAATCCCCAGTAGGGGGCATGCAGGAGGCAACCGATAGGTATTTTTCTCTCATCAATTTTTCTCTCTCCCCCTTATCTTTTTCTCTCTCTCTCTCAAATCAATAAAAACATATTTTTCTTTAAAAAACCCGACATTTTCTTGAGTCTCTCTCTAGTAATCATCAGTTGAATGCTTGCAAGGCATTGTCCTGAGAACAGTAGTACAAAACGAGTATTAAGACAGTCCCTGGCCGAAACCGGTTTGGCTCAGTGGATAGAGCAACGGCCTGCGGACTGAGAGGTCCCGGGTTCGATTCCGGTCAAGGGCATGTACCTTGGTTGCGGGCACATCCCCAGTGGGGAGTGTGCAGGAGGCAGCTGGTCAATGCACTCCTTAACACACTTTGCCTGAACTTCAGCAAATTGTGACGTGCTGGATTCAGTTTCTGAGGCTCTTGGATGTCCTGTTTTTTAAAATAGATATGGTGCTTTCCACAGACAAGTGGCATTTCCAGACCCCTATCCTACTGAAATTCCTCACGACCCCGTCTCGGGCAGAGATGACCATACCGCAAATGCTACTGGACGGGGAAAATTTATAGTCCCTCTGGAGGGGAAAAAAAAAGAAAAAGCTAGAACTCATATAAGCCTTACTATGTGCCCGCCACGTTGTAAACGCACCCCACACCCCCGATGTATATTATACCATACTATATTTTATTATAATTCTTCCAACAGGCAGATTCTGTTAGTAGCTCATTTAACCGTTAGGGAAACAGAGGCACAAAGAGGTGAAGCAACTTGCCTGCCCACCTGGTTATTGGCAGGAAACAGGATTCAAATTTCGGCAGTCTGGTTTCGGAGTCAGAGCTCCCCTGAGCGCAGACTAAATAACAATAAAAAACTCACACCCCAACCGGAGCGCGCAGGCGCGCGCGCAGACACCCGGAGCTTGTGAAAGAACTGATGCCGCCGCTCGCTAGACAGCGGTGTGCTCCCGCGTAACTCTGAACGCCGTCCACAGGAAAACCCACCCGGCCGCGAAGCGCAGAGCTGAACAGTTTGAGAACACGGCCCTGTGCTTGGGAGTGCTTGCCGCACGGAGTGGAGGACAAAACCAGCCCCCCGGAGAGTGACACTGAACGCACCCGGGACCTCGCCTGGCGAGGCGATGGAGACCTGACGCGGCCCGGGAGGAGACCGGGGCGTGCGGGGAAGGGGCTAAGATGGTGCACACGCAGCGACTCGGTGGAGTTTCACCAAGTTCTCCGGGGAGCCCAACCGCGGCGTCCCTCCGGGGACCCCGCTGCGAGGCCGGCGGCAACAGGAGGCTGGGCTCGGGGCGCTC